TTGACTTGATCCTGAATGTTTTTACTGTCTTCTTCATTTAAAGACTTCACAAAGCGAGAGCAGACGTTCATGTCAAATCTGTTTGGCAGAATGAACTTCATTCCCATTGCCACATTCTGAGTCTGGCCTTCTTCTGTGTTGGAGTCCATTACATGTTCTACTTTAATGTCAGGCATGCCAGAAAGACAAAAGCTAACACAGTCCTCTCCTGGCAGCTCTGAGGGGCCCTCCAGACTGTTTATTGTAGACATGGTGGATCTGTGGTACTTGCGCTACTAAAACTCTTAAATCTGCATCATAGGACTGTAAAGTTCCAATTCTGTAAAAGATTTGACAAATGTACAAGTGATATTTATAAAGTGTTTTTTGGTATATTATTAATACTTCAAAACAGACCTTGCATGACACATTACTTCTAAAAGTCTATTCTAAATTGTGAGCTCAGCTTAGTGAAGTCAATGTAACATGTGGAAACTCTGCTGGAGCTTTGTCCTGGTGTAAAACTGACCCGGCCCTCATAGCTCAATAATAAACTGATAAGGCAGGACAAAGATACCTATTTACTGGTCATGTGACATCAGCAATCTTCCTCTTTCCTGGTTATGGATATACACACAAAGCTTTACATATTTACAAGTACAATTAAAGTCTCTTATTTTGTGGCATATATCTACTGCTAGCAAGCAGTAGATACATGCCCCATGATAAAAACAAAAAATAAGAAATTAGGCAAATACCTAATTACTTACCTGTTCCAGCGCCGCTCGCTCCCGGCTGAATCACTCCCGGCTCATGCACGGCTGCGAAGAAGTGTGCGGGCGAATGCGCAGTAGAGGGAAGGGGAGAAAACAGACACTGAAGCTCAATGGATGCAGCCGGGTGCCCACACGTCAGATAGACACGAGGAGCCTGCGGTGGATCAGAGACCGGCACCAGCGCTGGAGGGACTGTCAGAAACGAGTGGAAGGAAGAAGATGATCGCAGCAAAGACGCATCAAATATGGTAAGTGTTTGAGAATGGGGCAAAAAGAAATGCTCTCAGTGTTATTTCTAGGGATGCACCGATATATCGGCCACCGAAACTAACATATCGACCGAATATGGAACTTTTGGCTAAATGCCGAATGTGACATTTTTCTGCCGATACATCGGCGCATCCCTGCTTTCCCTCATCCCCGCTGAGCGCTGCTTTGTGTCCCAGCGGGGAGGAGAGAAAATGTCACAGGTGGCCGAGCGCTGCGGGAGGAGAGCACTGTGAGCGGCCGGCGTCTCTCCTCCCTGCACCGCTCAGCCTCCTGTCACAGATCAGAGGAGAGCGGTGTGGGCGGAGACAGCCAGCGTTGTCACAGGAGGCGGAGCTCTTCTCCCTGTACTGCTCGCTCAGCCTCCTATGACAGCGTGTCAGGATGGAGAGCGGGTACAAGCAATCAGTGATCGCTGAGTGTTTGTAAATACTTGAGGACATAGCGTGGTAACTATATCCTTAATTATGAATGAATGGGAAGTGATCTACACCCCCTCCTGTTCATTCATGATTGTGGATATAGTAAACACACTATGTTCCTATGTTATGAGGACAGTTACAGGGAAAATCAATGACAGTGTATGGGCTGCAGATTAAGGAGGACACCTCTGCACTAAGGTTTCTATGGAAACACAATCTCTGCTTGCTTAGTGCAGGGTGCAGATGCTTTTGTATTACAGAATGGACAGAGGGGACCTGGGGAAGCGTATTTTATTTATTCTTTTATACAAATATTGCACTATACTTTTAGTGTAAAAAGCCCCCCCTCATCCACTACATAGACACCAATGCTGACCTGAGTTCAGGTTGTCTACTTGCAAGCCAAAAAGTAGGTAGCCGTACCAAGACCGTACCTCCATGGTGGAGTCACACAGGCACAGTATAAGGTGACTCACAGAAGAGAAGTCAGCCAGGAGGAGGCCGAGGCTGGGATAGGCAGATATTGTCTACATACAAGAGTCCTGTGTATTCTTCCCTGAATCTTGGTGAGCTTTGTGTATTTCTTCCAGATCTGTGCAGTAATCCAGTGTGACACTTCAGCTCTGTGCAGGAGCTTCCTGTAATATAGACCGGTCACTGCTGTGCTCTCTCCTTGTGCAGGGTGACTGGTCTTGTCTCCACCCCCTCTTGTAATAAAGACCGGTCACTGCTGTTCTCTCTCCTTGTGCAGAGTGACTAGTCTCGTCTTCACCCCTTCCTGTAATAAAGACCAGTTACTGCTGTTCTCTCTCCTTGTGCAGAGTGACTGGTCTTGTCTCCGCCCCCCTCCTGTAGTTTTCTGCAGGCAGCCTGTAGTGGTTGGAGCTTGCTGATTATGTCACTGCTCTTTTTGCAAAGGCATTTAGTCTACTTGAAGCAGACTTATATACTTGTGGCTATTAGGGAATATATCTAAATAAACACTTTTGTTCCCAGAGAGTCTCAGGTCTGTGTTGGGACATATGTAGCGGAAGGAGAGGGCACTCCACCTTTTATTTTTACAACATGGCATCATAGTTTAACCCTTAACACCCCCCTTCACTACACACGAACCTTGTAACTTGCGAAAACACATACGATATTCATTCACATACAGCCGATATTATAGATATCCCCGCCATGGACCAGCCTATCGCTAGTCATTCTATATTCCCAGACACCGTCTGCCTGTTCGGTTCTCTCCTGTCACTCACCTCAGAGGTTCCTTTTGTTATATTATTGTCTGACGTCACTTCCGCCGTGACGTCATTCACCGGGAGAGAAGCTTTGTCTTTATTTCTATACGAGGAATTCCTGGCACACAGGTCGCCCACTAGGCCAGCAGGAGTTGTGACGAGACTTCAGCCGAGAGACTTGGTCCAATCGATGCTGGCTCTTTCATGACGTGAAATGGACGCGACGTTTACCGGAAATGCGTCAGGAGGCAAGATGGCGGCTCGCAGTGCTCATTCCGGCGGCGTGACTGCCCGGCGGTGAGAGAAAGAGGCGAACGTGGAGTCCGGTGAGTGCGGTATGTGGGGAGGCTGTGCTGGACAGACAGTGGACGGAACGGTGGGAAGGGATGAGGATGATGATCTCGATCGCTGCCTGGTGATAAGTTCTTCTTGTCACATCTGCCCAGTCCTGACAGATCACATCCACAGAAGAAACACTGACGAACCACACACTTACACAGTGTCATCAATTCATAAAAGCGTCTACTTTATTTAAAGGGATTAAAGTAAATATCGCATAACAATGTACCTTAAACTTGGACAATACGTCATCGATGTTACGGTTTGGGAGCTATAAACTTCAATTTTTGCTACTACTGCATAGCGTGCCCTCACACACTGTGCCGCATTTCAAGTAGTATTAAACTCTCAAACTTTTTTCAATTCATGAATCCAAATCACAGAAATATACATTGCCCAGCAAAGTATTTATTTACATTTATACCCAAGCTCTTATGTTTCCAAACACCTGATTCCAATCCTCTCTGCTCCTCTTCCCTGGACTTCCTGTGCAGTATAAGATCACAAGGGAAAGAGCACTCTTCAGTGGCCGGCCATCTACTAGCCTGGAGGAGGGGACATGTCTTGGCTTGCTGTGTTTGTGGAGAGACACACACAGCTTACTAGCAAAAGTGACTCCATAGGACCATTGCAAGGAAAAGGAGCCACCCTAAAATAGGATATCAGGTCCAGTGCTTAGAGGACCAGCTGATTCTACAGGAAGCTAAAACTTATAAACATTGAGGAGCAGCATTCATTGTAAGGGATTTACTCAGCATTTGAAATGGCTTAAAAATGTAAGAAATCTATGAATCTTGTATTACACAGGATTTGAGTATGGGTGGTACCTGATGTCTTTCTGAGAGTACCAACCCTACTACCACTTAGCCACTGTGTGGGCAGCACTTCTGCCTTGCAGCACTGGGGTCCCTGGTTCAAATCCTGGTCAGGACACTAGGGCACTGTGCTTGTGGGATTGTTTCCTTTTTTTTTCTCATGGAAAGTGCTAATGACCTGAAGGTTTTTTTAGTATACAGGAAAATCTGTGACTGATCCCACACAAAAATCAGTTGCTCTTTGTCCCGTACAGGACCCGTATCTCTAGGATGAACTCTAGGGGAAAATGTCTAAATGCAGAGTTCAAATACCTATTCGTCTTACCTGCCAGAAGACTTCTAAAACTTTGGTTCAGCCAGTCTTGTGATTCAGTCACCACTGCCAAATAGCACATCCAAGTATTTTTTCCTCATTGCAGGCTACACAGGTAAGCATTAGGGACTGTTTCAGCAGACTTTTGTTTGCTTTCTTATACAAGTCTATGGGAATGCAAAACCTGCTTCAAGCAAGTCAGAGAGAGCTCATCTGTTTAGGTTAAATGCATTTGTCAATGAATTCTAAATGATCTCAAAAGCACCTCAAACTAATGCAATCGACACAGGACGGAAACCTACTGACACAGGCTCTTAAGGTGCCCATACACTGTGCAAATTTCCATCGTTTCCGGCCGAAATTAGACAGTGTGTGCTGCTGTTGGAACCCTTTGGGCCGGCATCCCTTGATCAGCTGATCAAAGGAACTGGTCGCATAATCTTCGCACGACCGGGTATTGTGACAGGTGCTGGCGGCCGCTGTCAGGATACACTGCAAACAGCGAGCATTCCTTGTTTTGTTCAGCCCATGGGTTGAATGAGAAAAATGGAGCAGTGTATTGCCACCCTTGCAGCCTGATCTAGAGCCTGCTACAGCCTGCCATTGGCATTCTGCAGCAGTCTACTGATGAGGTCCTTAGCCTGTTCTTTCCTCTTCTCGTTAGTCTCTGTGTTTTGCATTCAATACTCTTGCCACTTGTATAGAAAAATTTAATTTGACATTTTTTTTTAATGCATGGTCCACTTTCCAGTCTATGGGTGATATATGGTTATGTACTCTCACATCTATGTCTTAACATTCAATGTATTCATATTTTTTCTGTTATCTTTGTTTCAGCCAGGCTTCTATCCTGAAGTACCCGCATTCCTTATATGCTAATACCGTGGAGACGAGGAGATGTCGAATTACAAGCCTGTTGTCATCCCAGCATACCCTAAGCTTGGGGAAAAGATAACACATGACACACTGTACTGGAGGCGCTATAAGGTAATTCATATTGTAAATGCATAGGAAAATGTACTCCAGATTAAACAGAATGATAGTCCAAAGAGCCAAGGAAAACTTCCAAACAGATTCGAACTGGGCAGAGAGCACAGGGTCAGGGTACAACAGTGTCTGATCGTACCTTCCTTCGCTTTCTGAAAAGAGACGGACTGGAATTTGCTAAAATGAATATGGACTAGTCAGAATGCCCTTAGGACAGATCAGGCAAAACTGGAGCTTTTGGCAAGGCACATCAGCTCTATGTTCTGATGAAAATATTATGTTTTTAAAGAAAAGAGCACTGTACCTACTGTGAAATATGGATGTTTTGGGGGCATCTGCCATGGGGTGCCCTAAATCTGTGCCGGGCACAATGAAATCTCAGAAGTAACAAGGAATTCTGGAACAAAATGTAACACTGTCAGTCCTAGATCCTCCAACAGGATAATCACCAAAAATGCACAGCTAAAAGCACCAAAGAATGACTAAGAACATAACATTGCACTATTCTGAAGAGGACTTGCATGAGCCCTGATCTAAAATCCTATTGAACATATATGGAAAGAGCTGAAACTGTAGCAATTTGTTTAAGAAGAGTGAGCCAAAATACCCGTTGGTGGGTGCAGAGCACTTATTGAGAGCTGCAGAAAATGCTTGTTTGCAAGGATTGACTCTTAGGCCTCATTCACACACAATCCAAGAGCAAAATTGTATATTGCGTATATACACGTACTATTTGCAATCCCAGAATGCATCATTCATAATAAAAAATGTTAATGAACTGTACGCACGTGAAATACGCTGCCCGGACGCATCTCGGTTCCATTCTGTTTTTGCGCATATTCACGCTATGCAAATATACGGCTCCTTATGCAGCTATGTGTATGGAGCCATTTATTTGCATAGGCTGCTTATGGTATAATACACTCATATACGCGTTACAGTGGGAATGAGGTCTAATGGCTGTACAACAAAATATTAGGTCATGGGTCCCATCATTTGTGTCCATGCCATTTTTCATTTGCTTTAATTTCAATGTTCTGTTGAATCAAACATTAAAAGTAAGGTCTGATTTGTATTAAATATGTATTTAACAATGATTGATGGATGACCATTATGGAAGGGTACAAATTTGTCCATATTTATGCATATATAAAAAAACATATACAAACAGGCGCACACTGTGATTGACATTTCATATGGCCTGTGAACCAGAGCCTGGAGCTCCACCTACTGGCTGTAAATTTACTTACAAGTCATTCACAATCTTTATGTATTCCTGCTTGAAAAACATTGACATTTTATTTTTGTTTTTTCTATATGGACAAATCAATTTTTCAGCTCCCTTTTTAAAACAAATACCTAATTATGGATGAGATATGAAACATAGTCCAAAAAGTAAACTTGGCCTTTTACTTTGTTTCTTTGCAAGAGGATGCACTACCATGGCTGAAAAAAACATCTGGTATTTTGTTTCTGCCAGGAGTTCTTCTTTAACTTGTATTAAAACTAATTTTCTTGGATGATTAACAATTGTGCTCAATTTTTTTCTTTTGTTTATTATTTCCTCCTTTTTAGACTCCTATACAGATCAAAGAATTTGGTGCAGTAACAAAAGTCGACTTCTCACCAGTCCATCCTATACAATATGCTGTCACAGCATCTACAAGGGTACGTTAATGACCATTGATGAATGGATATAGCCCAGATCACACGTATAGCTTAGCATTATTTCACCTCCATCTTCTTTTCAAGTGACAATTTCTAACGTGGTGATAGGTCAGTAATAATGAAGTTTATGAATCCATTGGAGCAGCTTGACAGCCAAACAACTAGGAGAGGGCAGCTATGGCAGCCTCCATGTTCTCTCACTATAGGTTTTATAAAAACTAGAGGTGCACCGAAATGAAAACTTCAATAATGAAACCAAAATAAAAAAAAGGCCGAAAAAGAAAAGTTTTTTTGTTTTTTAACTTTTTTTTCAACTTTTTATTTTATTTTTTATAAACCTTTTTTTTAATTTTTCTCTTAATGTATTTTTTTTACATTTACTTTTTTACATTTACTTTTAGGGGCTTCGGAGAATATTAGGGGTCTAAACAGGTCCCTGACATTTTCCCTTTTAAAATAGAAAGAGATTGAGATCTGTTTCTGCATCCCCTGTCATAAATGAACAGGAATCCTCTATACTGAGTGTTCCGGTTCATTCATAACATGAGGACATTGTGTGTTTTACTATATCCACAATCATGAATGAACAGGAAGTGATGTAGATCACTTCCCATTCATTCATAATTGAGGATATAGTTATCATGCTATGTCCTCAAGTATTTACAAACACTCACTGATCGCTGAGTGTTTGTACTCGCTCTCCATCCTGACAGCTGTCACAGGAGGTTGGGTGGGGAGGTACGGGGAGGAGAGCAAGATCTGACAGCTGACTCCTCCCCCGCCGGCCTCCTGTGACAGCGATGGCTCTCTCCGCCCACACTGCTCTCCTCTGATCTGTGACAGGAGGCGGTGCAGAGAGGAGAGACGCCGGCCGCTCACAGCGCTCTACTCCCCAGTGCTCGGCCACCTGTGACAGTTTTTCCTCCCTGTTGGGATAACGAGCAGCGCCCAGTGGGGAGGAGAGAAAGCACGGATGCACCACTGCATCGGCCAGAAAATGTTACTTTTGGCATTATGCCAAAAGTGCCATTTTCGGCCGATATGTTTTGGCAGCTGATATATCGGTGCATCCCTAATAAAAACATAAAAATATGTGCACAGATAACATGGCTGATGATCACATATTGTAGTTTATAACAGTAATGTGTGGTCATAGTTATTCCCTATACTCTTAAAGGAATAATTCTGCTGTATGTATTGGTATATATGATGGAGTAGCTGTGGTATTGTATAGTTAAAACAGTCCAACTTAAGATATTAACAATTCAGAAACACTTTTTCTCCTCCAGATCCACATTTATGGCCAGTACTCTCAAGAGCCTATAAAAACCTTCTCCCGCTTCAAAGACACAGCTTATTGCGGGACCTACAGAGGGGATGGCAAATTATTTGCCGCAGGCTGTGAAGACAGTGTTGTCCAGCTTTTCGATATCAGTGGAAAGGCTGCACTCAGACAGTTTGCCGGACACAGCAAGTAAGAGTTCACTTGGTGTTCTTATTCACAACCTTGCAGCCTATGCTATTATGTTACGTAAAATGTAATAGTTGTAAGTTTAGACCACACTTATCATGCATTCTAACATGTGTATTGTCATGTTTGTGGAGACAGCTTACAGTCCAATTTCCATTTTTGTAGGTGATTAGCATTCATTGTGGTAATGAAGAGGTGCAGTGATGATGAATACATGTGCACGTTTTCATGACTCACATTGCAGGCTTTCTTCACTTCTTCACACCTGATGTTCCTGCGGAGAACATTTTGAATTTTTATTCTTCAGACCTGACACGGGTCAGATTGTAATCGGCTGCTTTGTAACATTGCACAGCACAGAGGCAGACATTTTCATGCAGCTATGAGGAGGAAAGCTGACAGAAAATGTAAAAGTTTGTGTTCATATACATCAGCTGCATATGCCTGCTTCATGTTCACTCGGTGTACATTGCTGACATGTTTTTTTAAGTGGGGGTAGACGGTCGGGGGACAAATTTGACAGATGGGGTTAATTTACTATCGGCAAATAGGCTGTTCATTTTGCATGGGAATTTTCCCTTGGCTTATGAATCGGGCGAAGCTCTGCTGACAACGACGTGCAAGCAAGAATACTGTTCATTTTCTTATGCGATTGTATTTAAATCCTCAGATAATGGACAATATATACAAGGGATGTATCAACAAGCAACACATGACCTTATGGAACTATTAGGCGCATTGGAACATACAGGCACCATTAGCTTGAGTTTGAGGTTTCTTTAACCCCTTCATGACAAGAGGGCATTGATGAAGAGATGCCTAGGACCAATTCTACTATTGCACAGATGCACACTACCACTTTAAGGCTGCAGTGCCATCTTCAGACTGAAGGCTTATTTTGTCAGTAAAACCTCCAGCCTTCATGTCTTTCCTATGAGTCCACGTGATCGGGGACTATTCTGATTGGTTCCCAATCGTTAGTGGGTACCCGACCTTGTATGGGTTTGACAGCTAGCAGCTGCACAAAGTGGAGGATGTTAAAGTGACACTAAACTCAGGGGTTGAATCTTAAAAATGCATTTAAGTACCTTTTTTAAAGTGACATTAAACTTGCAATACCCCCCCCCCCCCCCATGCTGCTGTAACGACTTAATGATGCCTCTTGATCCCATTTATCTCCTTCCGTCCAGTAGTTTTCAACAATCCCTCCAGCACTGGTGCCGGTCTCTGATCCAGCACAAACTGCTGTATCTTTTTGTCCAGTCACGGCTGCGCACGTTCACTTTAACTGTAGCTCTCCACCTCTCCTCGCCAGTGATTTCCATCGCACATGCGCCCGCATGGCTGTTCGGAGAAACTGGAATGATTCTGCAGCAGGGAGCAAGCGGCAGATAAGTTTTTACCTATTCGGTAGCTTTCCTTTTTTTTTTTAGGTTTTTGCATACATCTACAGCTTGCTAGTAGTAGATATATGTAAAAAATAAAAAAATAAGACTTGAATACTATAACTATAAACAAACATTGATTTTTTTTTTTTTTTTATTTTTTATTTGTGTATCACTTGGCTGTAGATCCTCAAATCAAATCATCTCTGAATTGGTGCCGACACTGTCCTTCCTTCTGGAGGATGGCTTCTTTTGTTCCCCATGGTCCCTGTGTGTGTTGTACAGCTGAGTGATAAAAATGTATCTTTTGTGTATTAATTAAGGTACTTGAATAGATTTTTTTTTTTTTTTTTTTTAAAGATTTAACTCCTGAGTTTAATGTCACTTTAATTTAGGACTTGCGGATGGGAAAGGGTGAAACCACAATTGAAATCCTTCTCTTGGTTATTTGTCATGAGTGGCTACAGAAAAAGCTTTTTTGATTTGGCAGAACTGTGGGATTTTTTCCCCCCAGAATGTAGTGTGTTTATCTATATTCTTTCACTATAAGAATACATGTTTTTCTTGTATAGAGCGGTGCATGTTGTGGATTTCATGTCGGATAAGTATCGGATTGTATCTGGCTCTGATGACTATTCAGCCAAGATCTGGGACATCCCAAATGGCACTGAAATCTCTTCCTACAAAGAGCACAAAGACTACGTGCGCTGCGGCTGTGCTAGCAAACTCAGTGGTGATTTGTTTGTCACAGGTAAGTATCTTTCCTCTCTTTCTAGCAAATAAGAGGTTCACTTATCTCTGGATGATACATATTTAACGGAGTGTGCTTGACTATTTGGTATACAAGTCCTGCATGCCTCCCTATTTGGGATTCAAGCACTGCATACTTCCCATCTGTCTGTGTTGTAAGTGGGACATTCCCTGCAAAGGCAGAGATCATCATTATCAGGTATAGCTTGTCTTAAATTGTAAGCTTTAACGCCCTGTACTCCATTTATAACTGCCCAATCTTTACTAAAATTGAAATATTATTTTTTAGTAAACTGGTTGCTGGTTTCACTGGAACTTAAAGGGCCCACAAAAGTGATGTGAAGGATTTCACATTGACTGCTTCATTGGCTTGACAAATTTGGTTTGATTTTAATATTTAATTTGAGAACGAATGGAGTTTTCTGAACAAAAACCACATACACAGTTAAATCCCTCCTGCTCCATTTATTTATTTACTTTTTGCATCACTACAGTCAAACTGTCATTGCTTTGACCCCAATAAGGATTAGAAAACAATTTTTTTTTTTTACGAAGTTCTTACCCCGTATACCCATCTTAAGTGTATTGTTAGAGAGAGCCTATAGGCCTTCAGACTATATAGGCAATAGCTTCATGTCCGATAGCTAGATAAACCCCTATAAGTAACTAAAGGGAATGACCACTGTGCTTTGTGACCTTCTTAAAATATATGGAGAATAAGCTAAACAAAGAACCTATCATAATTTTGTTTGTGTGTGGAGATTTACTCTTCCTGTCAGGGGGCAGTTGTCAGCAGGCTAGGATGTCCACATAAATGGTGTTTTTACCTTCTCTAAGTCTATGCACAAACAAACCTGCTCATGTTCACATGTGAGGTACCAACTGATGCTTTTTGGAAAGGTCTCTCTAAGGCTGGGCACACACCTTACAACCATCGCAAGACTTCTGTCTTGCGATGGTTGTAAGGTACTTAAAAAACGTACGATCTGCCTATGTTGCATTGGCAGATTGTGCTTGCGATGATCGCAAGCCACGCCCCCTGAGGGCGGGCTTCCGATGACCGCAATGCCGAACGGGCAGTGTGCGCTTGCGCACACCGGCCCGTGCGGCTGTTATCGTACGGACATGCCACAAACCTGCCGAACATCGTACGATGCTCGGCGGGTTTTCGAACATGTCCGTAAGTTTAAAGTCGTGCGACCTTACAGTAGTAGAGGTCGCACGGCTTCCACACACCGTACGATCGCGGGATTTCCCGCGATTATCGTACGATCGTAAGGTGTGTGGGGACCCTTAGGGTCTACAGTAGTAGAGGTCGCACGGCTTCCACACACCTTACGATCGCGGGATTTCCCGCGATTATCGTACGATCGTAAGGTGTGTGGGGACCCTTAGGGTCTACAGTAGTAGAGGTCGCACGGCTTCCACACACCGTACGATCGCGGGATTTCCCGCGATTATCGTACGATCGTAAGGTGTGTGGGGACCCTTAGGGTCTACAGTAGTAGAGGTCGCACGGCTTCCACACACCTTACGATCACCTTACGATCATCGTACGATCGCGGGATTTCCCGCGATTATCGTACGATTATCGTAAGGTGTGTGGGGACCCGATCGTACGATTATCGTAAGGTGTGTGGAAGCTGTGCGACCTCTACTACTGTAAGGTCGCACGACTTTAAACTTACGGACATGTTTGAAAACCCGCCGAGCATCGTATGATAACAGCCGTATGGGCCTGTGTGCGCAAGCGCACACTGCCCGTTCGGCATTGCGGTCATCGGAAGCCCGCCCCTCAGGGGGCGTGGCTTGCGATCATCGCAAGTACGATCTGCCTATGCAACATAGGCAGATCGTACGTTTTTTTAAGTACCTTACAACCATCGCAAGACAAAAGTCTTGCGATGGTTGTAAGGTGTGTGCCCAGCCTTAGAATGTATTCTTAACAGACTGCCCTGAAGCTGAATACCTGTCCCAGAATCCTCTTGGGTAGGCTGCTGTCTGACTCACAGGCTACATTTTAGTTCTGCATCTTCATTGTGAGTGACTATACTATAACTGGCATGCTGCTCATGAGAGAGGCTTCATTCAGAAGCATTCGAGACAGCAATTTAGGTACGTGATAGATTCCCTTTAAAAAGTACAGCATGACCCGTTTGATATATACCATAGAAAAGGCGCTCCGCAGCAAGAAAAAAGTGCCAACCACAAAGAGGTAACCTCTTTGTGGTTGGCACTTTTTTATTGGTGCCTTTTCTATGGGACCTATGCACTGGTTACAGACTTTTTTATCATTGTGTATCAATGTGTGTGTTCTCTGGAGGGGGGGGGCATGGACACATGATATACTGATGGTCCCCCGGGTTATCACCTTTTTTCTATTCTCTTTTGATATATAGTTACACCTGCATTCTGCATGGGGATCCGCTCAGGCTAATGCAGCTATTTTTATGTGTCCATTAAATGTGCAACCCATGTATGTGTTTTCTGTGTGTTTCCTATCTTATTTCATGGCTAGAGGATGTGTTTGTGATGCAGCATGTTATGATTACAGGTTCCTACGATCATGTAGTGAAATTATTTGATGCTCGCACAAAAAGGAGCACGATGACCATGGAACATGAGCATCCAGTGGAGAGTGTTCTCCTCTTCCCATCTGAGGGGCTTCTTGTCTCTGCAGGTATGGTGCAGGAATCGCTACAGCTTATGAAATAGACTCACAAATAAAACTAACACAAGATTGTTAGCAAAGTGTATGCCTCTGCCTTTTAAAGCATGCGGATGTGCACTCATTATTCTAGCCATCATAACTGCTTGTTCAACCCATTTTGAGGAGTTTTGCTTAAACAGGGTCATGCACACAGTGTATATTTTTACCGTTGATGGTTATTAGCCCACCCACACAATATCCAAAACATAAAAAGCATGTTGGCGTTTAGCCTCCTCCTTCCTCGCTTTTTTTATTTTTCCCTTTTTTTCTTTTAGATTAGGATAGACTGGTATTGGGTTAGTTTGTAAAGAAATGTACTTTGAGTGACTTCTGAAAAATAAAAAATGAAGATTCACTGAAATTGACGTGTTTTGTCATGCTGGAGTGCTGGTGACATTTCTTTACAAACTTTGCTTGATGTGTCGCCATCCGCAGTCACTGCGAGCACCCACTTTTGCCTATGGGAATTCCGGTAAGGTAGTGCTACAGGACTTTTGGTATTGGGTTAGAACCCCTGTCAAATTTTTATGTCTGTAACCACATTAGGGCGATTCACTCCCGAAATATCACCGCTAATCCAAATTTTTTAAATTGGCTTTAGATATACCAAATACCTATACCTGTGTATGAGTCCACTTAAAAGTCCTATGCCAGCCAAAACTGGTGTTTGGGTCACAGGATGGAGGAAGCCTCCTTATTTTCTGTGTGATTCTGAAACAGAAATTGAGATGAGACTTCTCCACTTGGGACACGATAATTAAATGCATTTTTGGTACTTAAAGGGATACTTAGATACTTTTTTATTTTTTCTGTTTTTGAACCCATTTGGAGCTGTTATTTACTTCTTTTAGTGTTACCACACATAAATATTTAAAAAAAATGGGCGCTGCCACCCCTGGGCCTTTATTAAAAATGTAAAGAAAAACATTTAGTGGTGTTATGCTTTAACACTTTACTGGTGCATGGAAGAGACGGGTTGTAAACCTCTTCATGGCTGCAATACCTGCCGTGAACTTGTTTCTATGTCACTCTGCTGGCTTGGGGCTTTTTATTAAGTAATTTAGGCATCTGCAAAGCTGCCTGGTCACTTTTACAGGGTGCAGAAGTGGCGAGAAGGAAGAGATCAGGAAATATCCATTACCCAATGTCCTCTGCAGAACATGAACCCTGGAAACACTTTGGGGTTCAGATCAGTCAAATCCTGACCAGCAGTGTAAGGAAAACAGGGGATCAATAAAATAAATTCTAATATTGGTATTTTGTTTTTATTTTTAAATGATAGAATATATTTCTGTGGCTTTAAAGGTTTTTAAAGTGTCATCTTTTGTATGGAACAGAAAAATTTGTAGATTATGTTGTTTGCCTGTACAAAAATTGCTGGAAATCCTAGCACAGCATCTTTCAGTTTTCTTAATTCTGTCCTGTCCTCTTTTAGGTGGTCGTTATGTGAAAGTGTGGGACATGCTAAAGGGCGGACAGTTATTGGTGTCCTTGAGAAACCATCACAAAACAGTCACCTCTCTGTGTCTTAGCAGTTCCGGGCAGAGGCTGCTGTCTGCATCATTAGACAGGTGTGTCTTTGGGAAATCCATATTTAGTGGGAATTTTCTTTTTTTTTTTTTGTGTGTAAAGTTCTTTTTTTAAGTAGCGATTTTGAATAGTTTGTCTTGAGTTACTCTCACCAGACAGTGGTCATGAATTGCCCAAGTAGATAATGCCACACTTTTTTCAACTTTATGGCATGTTAACGTGGCCAAAAAGAACTGTATATGCATTCAAATTCCTGGCTTCTGATTGGATCACTCAGGTTTTATACTATGTTATAACACTTGCTTGGCATATCCATCAGCTGATGCTGATCTTGCCTAATATATACATTAAAACATTGCACTTCCATTTGTAATAGATGCTCTTCTTATCAATAAATGTAGGTAAAATGTAATTTGATATCATTTAAAATGTTATCAGCTCTGACTTTTTACTACACGTTTGGTCTAATTTTGGTCTTATGTGGGTAGGCATGGCTTCTCTTCCAAAGCTGCAGTGGACTGCTCTGTACATTCCAGACAGGTCATTGGTCTACTCATTGATATTTAAATTAATAGTGCCCATATACCTTACAGACAGAAATGTTGGTCACTTTAGTATCCCTTTTTCATTCTGATAAAAAAACAAACAGCAACTGAGTGGATTGGAAGCTTTGCTTGATTCATGGCATAATAAACCGTTCATGGTGCTAGCACTTTGATATGTGATGCCCAGACAGTGTTGTACAACAGACTCTGTACTAGTGGCGGCTGGGTTTTCAGTGCCAGGGCTTCTTAAAGGTCTCATTCACACTGGGCATACATGTCCATGAGGCGTGCACGCCTGTAAACAGCGGAACCTGGGACGGACAGGTGCTGTTGTGTGAATGTGCACAGCAGCCTGTTCTTCCCTATGGGAGAACGCGACTGTACGGTGTCATACGGACACCCGAACTGCACATCTGTACCTGAAAGGATGACTGCGTACAGCCTCGTCCTCCCATAAGGAAGAACAGGCTGCTGTGCACAATCACACGCAGCATCTGTCCCTCCTGGGATCAGCTGTTTACGGGCGTGCACGTCACACGGACCTGTACACCCAGTATGAATGAGGCCTTAAAGGAGAACTATGAGGTGAGTGCTTTTCACTCACCTCATAGTTCTAGCCGACCTGTGACAATGAGACTGTCGCAGGTCGGCTCAGTAGATCAGGAGGTGAGCGAACACATACCGGCGTTTGCTCACCTCTCGATCCTGTCACGGCTCTCTGCCATGACAGGGGAGGGGCTGGATTCCCCCCTCTCCGATCCGCCATCGATGACTGGCGGAGGGGGCGGGTACAGCTGGCTCTGCCTCTAGATAGGCAGAGCCAGCTGTCAGTCACGCAGCTGGGCGGATCCCGGCACAATTGTCGCGAGCAGCAGCTGAGCCTAGGGTGACGTTAGGACGCTAGTTTGTGTCCTCCCGTTACCCTAAGGAGAACTATGGGGAAAAGCCTTAACCCCATAGTTCTCTGTGTTCTCAGTGTTTGAAGGTTAACAATTTTTTTTTTTTTCTTGTGTATATTAATGTATAAAGTATCTTTTAAACAGACATGTCAAGATTTACAGCACAATGAATTATAAAGTGGTTCACAGCTTTGACTACGACGCCTCAATCTTGACTCTGGCATTGGCGGTGAGTACTTTGAAACCTGGAAACTCGTTTTCAGTAGCTTGTTTGTTAGATAAATCACTATAGGTTCAATCAGTGGGCAGTAACTCGTAGCAACCAAATCTATTGAAGTGATGGCTCAAAAATTGTCTGCTTTGCATGAGCGTACCTTTCTCGGCATTATTACTATTTCATTTTTCTGCCTTACTGAGCAAGCATGAATGAGGTACAATTCTGTAGTGCCTCTGTTACCTGAGACAAAATATAGTAGCAGACGAATAGATGCACAATCTGCCCCTTTTGTAGCTACAGATGCAACAAATCCTCTTCCATCACCTTCTACAGGTCGCTGCCTTGTACTGTCCTGAATTTGGGACTTTGATACATCCTGATATGTCTTTAATGTGTAAGGGGGTAAAGGGGTAGGAAAAATCATCATAACTTCCGTTTCAAATCCTTACTGTGATGAACGTGTATGGTCTAATAATAAACTTTTCCAGCTGTCTAAGAATACTACTGAGAATGTTCTGAGATCCGAGCACATAATGATCAGACAGTAGATTGAATAGAAAATGAATGTTTTCATGTTTTTGGCTTGTAGCCTGACGATGAGATGGTTGTGGTTGGAATGACCAACGGAGTGCTTAATATCAAACATCGGAAACCAGAAGAGAAGAAAGCAAATGAGCCTCCAGCCAGGAAACATCCGAGATACAGAGTGTTTGTGAGGGGGAAGGACTATATGCCCAAACAGGTACAAAGAAACACCCTACTAGGGTTCACATGCTTGGGGATCTGTTTATTTAGGCTGCTTGAACGGTTAAGTCTGGCCTATGTGTGCATGCCAAAGCTGTAAAGAGAATTACTTGTATACTAGAAAAACAAATTTGCAGCTGCTTATAACTAGCAGGGGAAGGGGTTGATGTGGTTGAGATATTTGCAAAACAGGAACAACACAAAAATGTACCTGCACAAGAAAAGACTGATTGCTATTGACAGTTTGTAACTAGCAGCTGTGAGAACTCTGCACCTTCAGAAATCTGTGTGTTTAGTCTGCCTGGATAATACAATACCATCATTCCCAAATTGGCTGGAAATATTTTGGGGGGAATTTATGAACATGTTTTTTGCCAAAGTTTTACTTGCAAAGACCAAAATGTCATGCTAACGAACCTCAAAGTTGTATCTATGTTATGAGATTTTAAGTGTTCTTGTGACATATTCAACGTTTGCGACTCGCTGCACATGTTTTGCCATATTTAGGTATTTAGGAATGAAACATAAACCAGGATAAAAATCTGTCACCATACGCACTAGAAATCAACGATGTGAGAGTTTAAAAGCACGCTGCTGATACGACCAAATTGATAAATGCATCTCCTTTTGTTTTTTCTCTTAACCGAGATCAGCCAATAGGGCACTTTTCACAGCCGCTTTGTAGGGATTGCTAGAGAACTGTGACTTGAGAGAGCCAGCAATGAATAAAATAGCCTCTGGGCACAATCTCTGACTAAGCCCATGATGTATGGTGACTCTAAAATGTTGGTCTCTGCAGGATGATGTTGTTGTCAGTAAGCCAGTAAGGCAGCGCATAAAGAAATATGACCGGCTACTCAGAGGATTCCAGGCGTCTGCAGCACTCGATGCAGTTTTAGAGGTAAGAGGCAAAGTTGTAGTTTTTATTAGGAAGCATTGAGAAAATATGAATGGTTTAATACAGTGGTACCCAACTGGTGTAACCTCAGGACCCACATTTGTCCTTGGTCATTAAGTCGCGACCCAAGTTGCACTTATGGAACACATGGCATTGCGGCACCGCGTGTTCCGAATGTGGGCGATAGAACTGTAGGTGGGAGATGCATTTGGGGTGCCATTCAAACGTATGGCAATGCACTGGACTGTGTGATTAACGCACTGTACTAGTGTGAATGGGCCCTCAAAAACACTGACAGACACACAGCCACAGACACAATATCACACCCTCGGACATTCTCGCACACACATACACACTCCAAAACAATTTTTTATTTCATTAATTTTTTTTAATCCACCCAGTCTCCCTACTTTACAAGAACTGGAGTAGATCATCAGCATGGGGTCCAGTGTGGGCTGCCGTGCTGTAATTGAGCTCCATCCATATGTGCATCCACTTGTACAGCTCCCTTACACAGCCTGTAGAGGTGCCAGGAGCCAGATTGCGACATCATTCTGGTCCAGGCGCCTCTACAGGATACACATGGGAGCCTTAAGCAATGCACTCATGGATGGAGCTCCCTCACGGCCATAACCGCAGTCCACCCCACCTCAAGCCGACACTCGGCACCGGGCAGTATATTTTGAATGGCTGCTCGGTGTGAGAACTGACAGTGCTACGCTAGTGGAAGGCTGAGGAGCCTCTCACCTAGACAAGTGGAAGCCATGCGGCGACCCACTGAACACCGGGTCGCAACCCACTTTTGGGTCACGACCCACCAGTTGAGAAGCAAGGGTTTAATATTTGTACAACTGAAAGTTTTCTTGTACTTTTTGTTGGCCATAAAATGATCACTGCATGGCATATTGGTGCAGGACAACCACTAGGTACCTGCTTTAATTGAATAAACTCCTGTGCTTCTGCTACTGGAGAACTTGGGGCCAGTTTAAAACTTGAGTAGATGGTTTCCTACTCAGGACACTGCAATAATTGCTTACCACTGGCCCAGCATTTTATGCTTCATTCATAAAATGCCGAGTGTGGCGTTGCGCCTTTCATGTCCTTTGGAGTGTGTAACACTGCAGAGAGCACGTATGATAGCAGGAAAGCCTTGTCACATGATGTGACCTGTATTTCCGCCTATTGGCATTAAAGCAAATGAGGCTTTGCTTGCTTTAGGGTCCCTCGGTAAGGAAAATAGAAAGCACATTTGTAAAACACACTAATGTGATGACAGACCTCACAACCAAGTTTTGTAAGGCAACAACCTCAAACAGCAGTGCTTATAGAGCACAATTATGTCTGTATGAAGTAGCCAATATGCCATTGCCATTCTCTTCCATGGCTGTGATTTCAGAGCAGACAGCAAGTGGGTCCTGACAAAATAAGGGTGAGTAGTGCGAGTGGAAAAATATTTTTAATCTTTGCAGAAATTATATTTTAAGTTTAATACGGCGATGTCCTCTGTGCTTTTTTTCTGAGGGCTCGTTCACACCAAAGCTGTCCCTTGCAGTGCATTAGCGAAGGCATGTTATAATAGGCTATTCGTGCAGCAAATAGGTGTATGCAACAAGCAACACCACAACACATAGTTCGTTACCATTGATAGTAATGCATTGCAATGTTTGAGCATCCGAAGTGCATTGCCTTGGGGTGCCTTTGAAAATGAATGGCACGTGTGTGTAATGCGTTGTGGTATTGCATTGTTACCACAATGCATTTCAACTGATATGTGTTTAGGCCCTTATATTATGTTAATCTCTCTCTTGTTATAGACTAAGGTTCGAAATGGAAGCCCAGAGGTGACCGTAGCGGTAATGAATGAAATTAACCGAAGAGGAACCCTTAGAAATGCTCTGGCAGGGAGAGATGAGAAACAGCTGAGCTGCATACTGACCTTCCTCATAAAGTAAGTATCTAGCTGCATCTTGTATCAGATTAATGTAACTTGGCCACTAGTGTCATAGCAACAATATACAGTATATGCTGGTAAAATGACAACATCCTAACCATAGGTCTTCAGCGTGCACAAATGAGATTTACAGAGCATTATGAGTGTTTTATGCTAAGAGCACAGTAGAAGCTGTTTGCCTTCGTGCTTGTTCTGACAAACTTTATACAGCACCATCTGAAAAAGCAGGAGAGTGGGATGAATATATAAATTATTTTTAGCACATAGACAAAATGTGCACTTAACCCTTGCAGTGCGGGGGTAGGCCAACTGCGAGGGTTAAGAACACTTTTGCCTGGAGTTCTTTAATGTATCTGTATTCTAAATACCTGAGTTTGCCTTGGTATCCATCAATGGATGCCCGAGCTGTCAGTCAAAGCTGGGATTGAAAGCTACGAGTAGCAGACGATGTTGGCTGGGACTCTTAATGGGGGAGACCTTTATTAACCTCTTGCAGTGCGCCCGTAGTAAAAAAACGGATGTACGGCACTGCTGCATTGGCGGGTTGCCGTCGCCAGACGGCATTTTTTTTCTGCTCGCGCGCGCCCCCTGGCGGGCACGCACGGGCAGAAAAGACCCGACCATTGCACACACCTGTTACCGGGTGTTTTCACATATAGGCGATCAGCGGCTCCATAGCCAGCCGATCGTCTATGTGCTCGTTCGCGTCCGCCGCAGCCGGTTAAAACCCCCCCGACCCCTCATCTTGAATCCCGGGATCCGCTGCCCCATCTTGAATCCTGGGATCCGTAAAAAGTAAAATAAAATAAAAGTCACATATAAAAAAAGGGGGCGAAAAACCCCCAAAATGTTTAACTCCCCCACGTTTACGTGCCTATAAACGTAAATACGCGTCCAGTGCCCCAGCGTGCAAAAATTACAATTGCGCTACACATGTTACATATCGCCGCGAACGTCGCAGTGAGAGCAATCATTTTAGGGCCATCAATCACTGATAACACTAAACTGATGAGCGGTAACAGCTTTTAAAGCGTCGCCTATGGCCAATTTTGGGTATTATCGTTTTTTGAGGTTTCGCGCGCGCACGCAATTTTAAGGCTTGACATGTTTAGTGTCTTTTTACCCGACGTGACCCCATCTTTTATATTTTACCAAAAAATTGGGTAATAATAAATGTTTTATCATTTAATATAGGGGAAACTGTTTTTTTTTTTAAATTTCGGTAATTTTTCCTTAATATAGTAAAAAAATAAAACCCCCAGTGGTGAATAAATACCACCAAAAGAAAGCTCTATCTGTCCCCAAAAAAGGGTATAAAATTCATTTCACTACAGCGTTGCATGACGGAATAAATGTCAGTCAAAGTACCGCAGCGCTGAATACTGAAAAATGGCCTGGATGGGAAGGGGGTTTAACACCGCGGATGTCAACTGGTTAACATATCCCGGGCACCAGACATCATGCTGAAGAACCATAACATACAGAATTCAGGCAGGCAGGGCTTAATGCAGTGTGGGAATATGGCGGAATACATTTAAAGTAACAATAATAATAACGGTCATTTTCTTCCACAGACATGTGGTAGAGCCCCGCTTCGCGCCAATACTGATAAATGTAACAGAACAAGTGATTGGTAAGCATGATTTGTCTCTCATACCGCCGGCTTTGCTGGTCACTGATGTCTGGATTCTAATGAGGTTATTGTGATTTTATTTTTCCTTTTTAGATATTTATTCATCTGTTGTCAACCAGTCATCTGTAATCGATAAACTATTCCTGAGACTCCAAGACCTCCTAGAAAAGGAAATCCTTTACCAAGAAGAACTTCTGGAGGTGCTTGGGATGATGGACACTCTCTTTGCAACTATGACAAGTAAAAAGGAAACCAGTTCTGGGGAGAGCAAATCTTTCATCCCCGAACAGAAGACATCAATAGGCATAAAATCTTCCTCCTGATCTTGACAGCTGCAGTTGGACCTTTTTTATACCACTTTTTAAAACATTTTATATGGGGGAAATGTGAATCCATACCATTTGTAAAAATGCTGTCCAATCCAATTCGTGTGTCTGGTTGAACAGGACTGGAACGCTGTTCATAACATTTTAAAGAAAGTGTGAAACTTCTGTAAAATCTTACTTTGTGTCAGATGATTTATTGCGATTGGTGGCAGGTAAATCTTATCTGTGATGGCAGTTGTACCAAACCGATCCTGGCCGGGTCACTGCGACAGAGCTGATGGAGGCGAGCCCATTGAACGTCCATGTAAACCTCTTACAGCAGCAGATTGGATGTTTGGCTGTTTTATTTAACTTCCTGGTGGAGTTTCCTTCATTAAAAGATACAAAATAATTTTTGTTGACCTATAATACAAAATACCTGTGTGGGAAACACAGCCAAATGGCTGCTGCCATGCACTGATTGTTTTCTGCTCACCGAATGAACCTGAATATTTCCAATGATATGGTCAGGTTTCCCTAAGAGCAATATGTAGCACAGGCAGAAAATGGCAGCTTTCATTAGAGCCCTTTTTGCTTTGTGATTGGTTTTCTTTAGTAGTGCCAGAAGACTGGTGATCTTGTGTCACACTCGAGTGCCCCAAGCAATTACAGTAGAGCTTTCTGCAGCCAATAGAAACGCATGTAAATGTCTAAAAATAGTCACCACTGCTCACAGATTACGTTTAACCTTCTTGGCGGTATTCCTGAGTGTGGCTCGGGGTTAATTTTCAGTACCAAAAGCGGTAACCCCAAGCCACACTCGGGATTACACAGCGCTTCAATTACTTTCTCCCTATGAACCACGCTGTGTTCTCTGGCCAGTGCCAGGAACCGTCTTCCGGGTTCCGTCCCTTGCGAGCGGCCGCGTCGCAGGGGGGCGGAACCAGCGGGAAATTTAAAAAAAGAAAAAAATCACCAGAATTTTTTACTAAACATTTTTCAAGCCCTTGCTACATACCACTATAGGTTGTCCATCTGGTATCATCCAGCTGGTTTGATTACAATGGTTCAGCTGACTGTACTCTTATACAGATTTCTAGACTACACTATAAATGATTTACCATCAAGGTAGTATGGAACAGTGAATAAGAAGGTGAAAGTCACATTCTAGTAAGTAGGAATGCACCGATACCGGTACTAGTAGTGGTGCCAATACCAAGTATTGCTCCGATACTGGAACTTCGGTCAGAGGGAGATTTCCTCTGATCGGCAATGCCACGCGGGAACATGGCTTCACAGCCTAGCAGCATGGAGCTGGCTTGCCGACAAATCGGGAAGCCGGGTGGTGGGGTAATGACCCGGCTTCCTGATGTCAACATTGAGCCGGCCAAGCAGCATGGAGTTGGTTTCCTGACCAATCAGTAAGTCAGGTAGCGAGTAATGACCCGGCTTCCTGATTGGCTGGAAAGCCAGCTCCATGCTCCCAGATGTACCGGTATCGGTGTTCAGTATCGACGAGTACTGGCAGATGAACTATCGGTACTCGATACCGAAAAACAGGTATTGGTGCATCCTTCCTAGTACGTTTTACACTGCTAACGATAGTCTGCACTTACTTTTATAGGAGAACCATGGCCAAACCTTTTTTGGTGTTCTGTTTTGGGTCAGAGGAGAACGTTTACTATGTGTTCTGCCATTTTTCTGTTACTGAGGCCATACATTGAAAGTATTGGCCCATTGAAAGGTGTGTAAGGCAGGCCATAATATGACAACTAAATTTGCTGCTTGTGCTCCAGGATTTGGTGATCCATGGGAACAGTGAAAAATACATAAGCAGGCACTTGGACATGCCTGTGGACCAGTGTGTGCTTTAGA